TGTGTGCACAGGGTCACGCGCCGCTGACCTCCACTGCAGGGTACTGCCATTGTGGGAATGGGTAAATAAACAATGGCACAATATGAGGGGACTGGCATAGTCAATGTAAATACAACAACTTGTAGAGAAATAATTCTACTTTGCACGACGAGAAAATCCGTGTGTTGAAAATGGATGGACTCTCGATGCCATTGGCATGATTGTATCACATCTTCGTCACTTACGCCCAACGATATTCACGACAAATCTCGGTTTAATCTCTCAGTTTTAAGCATGTTTTCTAAACAATACATAGAAAAAAGACACTTACCTCATTTCTGATAATGTTTGTAATGACATTTACTGAAACAGAAGACAGGATATTCTTGAAATCAACACGAGATTACTGACGTCCGGCGAAGGCTAAATTAAATTTGGCGCGGCCTGTCGGAATAATACTTAACCCCTACAACTTTAATGGTACGATCCAGTCAAGACGACAGAAAAAAAGGCTTTAATTTCAAAACAATACTTTAAATTAAACCTAAAACTTAACTGATAGATTGCAAAAATAGTCCTACATATTACTTATAAATAAAATCTATACCAAACGTCGTAGAATTGTAACATTTTGACGATGAAAGACGATGAGTAATAATTGATGACGTCACAAATGCGGTTTTGCGTGCTTGTGTCATCCGGGACCTGTAGATGAAAGGTCATTTCAGACGCTAGATGTGAATAGTCAATCCTCTCCAAAGCTTCGTTCCGACAAAATTATTCAACCAATCAAAACATGTTTTATATCGCCAGAAAGCTAATATGGGTCATTCCATGTCAGACCAACGCACTTTTTTACCTCATGTCTTCCGATTTTAATAAAAATTGCTGTGCTTGTAGGTCCTAATGAGCAATGAATACACACCAATTTTTAGCCCGATCCGACCTACCATGCGGTCAGGGCAGAAGCCACAAAAAAATGGCATTTTTAGAGTAAAATACCACCCTTTTGGTATAAATATGTCAAAACTATGGCAATTTTCATCCAATATATGTGAATTTGGTTTTAAAATAATGAGGATTGCATGCTCAAATCACTCTTTTTGTCAAAATTAAATTTTGTGAAAAGTAGGTCACGTGACCTTTAATATGCTATCGTGACCTTTGACCCAATTTTTGTAATAATGTATCATTCCGAAAATCAACGAAATAAAAATAACTTGCTAGAGCATGTCTTCCTCTATCAGAATCTACTAAAAATCAGTTGGGGTCTTCAAAATTTACAACTTTATGACTACTTTTGTACAGTTAGTAGGTTACAAATGAGTCAATTTATAGATTTTACATAAGAAATTCACCAACACAACTTACTATTCTGTTTCTAAAGTTACTAAAATTAATCTAGATTTTTATGTATAAAGTACAAAGCCAGGAAAAACAAAATTCCACCTTCTGATTCCAAAGAAACTGTCTAATCAGAATATCTGGACTCAAAGTGTGCTAACCACTAACAGTAACCAGGCCTTCACCCAGTACAGCGGACTCACGTCCAGGTGAAATTCACCTCAAAGGAACAAAATGCCAAGTCTGTGAGAGTCATTAAAGTTCAAGAAGCACAGTGATGAATGAGTAAAGGTAACTTTGATTGTAATATTAAGTATTATCTTCAAGCAAACTTGAATCCTAGACCCTGATTAGTCCATCTATAGCAACAACTGTGTGATTTTATATAATATTGCACAGCTATATTGCACCCCAGATATTAAAAATGTACGTGTACATATGTTGTGTTATTTCCTGCAGAACGGACCAAAACACTACATGTATGCACGTACATCTTCACTGCGTGTACGCATTTGATATCAAGTTTGCTTGAAGATAAATTGGTTATAAATCCCACTTGCGCTCGTGGAACACGGAATTATGTAGTGCATCGAGTGGCATATGGGTCACAGCAGCATTGCATTATTTCATATTCCAAGCGCGCTCGTGGGATAACTAATTATCAGTGGCACCCAGGAGGGGGGGGGGGGGCCTTGAACCCACCCCCAACATTGTCAATTTGTTTGTTTGATTTTATTCTAGTTTTTGTTGGTCCAATCTTTTACAGAAATTTGAACAAAAAACGATTTATGACCCCCCCCCCCCCACCAAAAGCCAAATCCTGGGTGCGCCACTGCTGATAATTTACACTATGAGTCTGGTTAGACCTCATCAGCCCTCAGAATGAGAAATTCACAAACCAAGATATATTTTAGTAACTTTAGAAACAGAATAGTAAGTTGTGTTGGTGAATTTCTTATGTAAAGTCTATAAATTGACTCATTTGTAACCCACCAACTGTACAAAAATAGTCATAAAGTTGTAAATTTGGAAGACCCCAACTGATTTTTAGTAGATTCTGATAGAGGAAGACATGCTCTAGCAAGTTATTTTTATTTCGTTGATTTTTGGAATGATACATTATTACAAAAAATGGGTCAAAGGTCACGATAGCATATTAAAGGTCATGTGACCTACCTTTCACAAAATTTAATTTTGACAAAAGAAGTGCTTTGAGCATGCAATCCTCATTATTTTAATAACAATTTCACATATATTCGATGAAAATTGCCATAGTTTTGACATATTTATACCAAAAGGGTGGTATTTTACTCTAAAAATGCCAATTTTTTGTGGCTTCTGCCCTGACCACATGGTAGGTCGGATCGGGCTAAAAATTGGTGTGTATTCATTGCTCATTAGGACCTACAAGCACAGCAATTTTTATCAAAATCGGAAGACATGAGGTAAAAAAGTGCGTTGGTCTGACATGGAATGACCCATATACTGCATATTCATAAGCCGCTAGGCCCAAAGCAGCCTGATCACAATGAAACGAGTGAGGGCTCACGAAAGCGAGTAATGTGCAAGGAAACTCGCTGTTTTGCTAGCTCTCCCACGCAAAAACGACGACATTATGCAGGTTTACTATGTTTTTTCCAACGAAACTGAGGAACTTACTGGTATTATTTGTAGGTTTTGGATTTGATGAATAGTTATTCAAGTGACTCCCGAGCGGCCCAATGCTGGAAATGCAGCGCACTTTTTTTATAAAATCACTTTTTCATAAAAAATGCTCATTTGACCTATGTACGCAGGCCAGATTGAGCGGATGAGACAACGTTTCCATATACAGGCGCGGATCCAGGGGTGGGCCGCGGGGGCACGTGCCCCCCGTCAAATTGAGTCCACAAAAAAAAATGAATAAAACAGGAGGGAAAAAGAGGTGGAGGTGAGAGAAATGGAGGGAAGGAGGAGGGCAACCTTCTAACAAAAATGCCGGCGCCGATATTAAACATCAGCGGCCTGCAAACATTGTGTAGTGGCCGTATGACACAGGGAACTCGAGAAGCTTCGAAGTAAACCGCGATCCCACCGTACGTATCCATACATAACCCTGCATGGTAGGCCTATATGGATTATGAAATGCGATTCATATGAGCGCACGCACCGGTACGAAAAACACGCACGTGTGACGGCCGATGTGCTGTGTTTAGCGCGATGAGCGCGACATACACGTTGAACCACGGATCAGATCCGTGGTTGAACGCTGCTCTTTGGACCACACTATTGGTCAAGGGGTGTGTTTTCGTATAACAATTTGCCAGCATTTCTTCCACGCACTTCCAAGGAGTCCAAAACATGTCCGTTTCAGTAAAAAATGTCCGTAGAAAATCTTATCTTATTGATAAACTGAAAATTTATACTTGACATACAAAACATTAGAAAGCATCCTTGCAAAAGTTTACAAACTAAGTCTATACAATTCCGTTTCAAAAATGCACGAAAACAATTATGCAAACGAAAATGGTTATCAAGTGAAAAACAGAAGAAACTTAAAAGGCTTGTTAAAGCAAGAGTATACATGTATATTAAACCAATGAAAAAAATCCTTATTTAACTTAAAACATTTTGCTCAAATAACTCAGGGAAAGAGGGGCCAGATATCGCCTCAGATTGCACCACAGAGCATCTAATTATCAAAAAAATTCCCGGGGCCCTTAAGCGGGCCCCGGACCCACGCCGACAGACATTGCGCTCTGCATTATTAGTCCTCGGGGCAGATCTCCCGACGCATCCTTAAAACAGTTTACAATCTAAGACTATCCAATTCCTTTACAAAAATTAAATGCAAGAAATTGATTATGAAGTCGAAAATACTTGGTTATCAAGTGAAGAACAGAAGAAACTTAACTAGGCTTGTATTAAGAAATACAAGAGTACAATTTCAAACCAATGAACAAAAAATTTAAAAAAACACATGGTGTTACCGCAAACCGAAGCGATAATGAAAAAAAAATCCTAATAATCTTCACAACATTTTAATGAAATGGGGCCAGGAATCGCCTCAGTTTGCACCACAGAACATCTATAGAATCAAAAATTTCCCGGGGCCCTTCAGTGGGCCCCGAACCCCACGCCGTAAGACACTGCTTCACGTTCGCATTAGTCCTTGGAGCAAATGCCTCAGCGCATCGCCCGTTGCAACAGTTTACAATCTAAGTCAATACAATTCCTCTTCTTCTTTTTTTTTTAAATACAATGCAACAAATTATGAAGACAAAAATACATGGTTTGCAACTTTGAAGTACACAGTACCTTTAAATTTGTAAAAACAAGAGTATATTGTAAAAAAATCCTTACAAGTTTATCAACTTTTGCACAAATAATTCAGGGGGAAAGGGGCCAGGAATCGCCTCAGATTGCATCACAGAGCATCTAGAATCAAACATTTCCCGGGGCCCTTAAGCGGGCCCCGGACCCCACGCCGTAAGGGCTTCGCGCTCCGCTCTCGCATTAGTCCTCAGAACAAATGCTCTAAGATGTGCCCCCCGTCTAAAGAAATCCTGGATCCGCGCCTGATATAGTTCAGTTCAGTTCAGATACATATATTTACGTTTGAAAACCTGTGAACCGTTCGTTGTCAATGGAGCTGGAGGTCCGGTGGAAAAAAAGAAAAGAAAACCAGGTGAACTTACCACGATGTTACAAAAGTGAGTCACAATAATAAGGCGGCAACTTGCGCTTTACTAAACACCAACCGATCTCCACGAGGGGCTCCAAGTAGCTGTCTTTTTTTTCTGCGGCTCTCTGTACGCTATCCAGTCACACCGATGCACTGAGAGAGTAGAGTGTTTTTATGGTGAGGACACGAATCAGTAAGTAGTGGCGATCGCGATATGGTCGCTTTCACCTCCGCCCACGGTTGAACAGACTTGTTTTTTTCCACCCGTGAAAGCATTGGCTTTCGTCCTTGGGTTGTGTTTTTTCTATGCAAACAAACTAAATAAAATATGCACCAACGCAGGTTGGTGGTTGAAATTCTACCTCCATTTGCACAACTAAATATCAAAGTGACCCTGCACAAACACATATGATATACACGCACATCTGTATATAGGTACTGCGTACTGTATAGCGGACTGTGCACCGATCTCCTGTCTTGTTAATTATAGTCCAGGCAAAATACTTTTATTTTTAAAGTGAAACTCACACATACGAACTGCAACAGAATTTGGAATTCTACCTACATTTCCTTGTTTGAATAACATTTTCTAAGGGAAATCAATATCAGAGACCGGATAAGGACATAATAAAGATACAAAATGGCTATTATTAATACTTTAAGTTAAGTTGCGCGTAAATGCCTTTTACTCATACATTCTCAAAGGTCAGTATTGATGAGCTTCAAATTCACAAACTTCTATCTACTGGCACAAACTTCTATCTACTAACAAAAATAAACGGTGAATTATGTGAAAAAAATAAAAAATTCTTGATCATATGCCAAAATACCGGGGGGAGGGGGAAATGTGGTGTTCATGGTAAATTGGGCTAAACAGTAGGCGACGGGTTGCCTAACGAACAAAATAAAGGATTATTGTTGCTTACAATAAAACTGTCAACGTCAAAATGTTTTCTTACCAGTAATTTTGGAATTTCCTTGAACTTTTAGGCACCCACCTGCTTTTTAGCCCAATTATACAGACGCCTCTTTCCCCGTTTTTTGTTTTCTGGGCTAAACATCGAATTTTTATCATTCTTCAAATTTGCAGGAGCTAATTCACGTTGGGTCATTTTTGGAATTCAAATTCACCATTAAGCAAGATTTGTGAAATGTAAGCAAAAGAATTCGAAACTGGTTCATGTGATTACTTTGTTTGTCTGTTTCTTTGTTCCAATTTGAAAATGCTTAATACTATTTCCCACAAGATACGGCTACATAGCAGCAGCCACAAATGACCATATTTTGATCATTTTTTTGCATAAAAACAAGCACATGTTACTGAAATAAAGAATGTTTAAGATCAACTTAGGGCCTCATTTAGAAAAAGGTCAGAGATATAAGAAACCAAGATCGTCATTTAAATCTAGAAGATAGAAGGGCAAATGCACAGTAGTTTAAAACCATATATGACCCAGACATCATCAATATTCTTGAATTATCATCAAAAATATCATTGAAAACGAATTCAAATGCAATCATTTACCATGTAAAATATTGTCCAAATTCATTAGTACGTGCATCTTTGTCAAAACGATGCAGATTTTGCTATTCGGGAGTTTAACTCGCTGCTGTGGAGTAACGCCCTCTGTTGACCAATAGTGTACAGTGTGACAACTATTTTTTTTTCAGTTCAAAACTTCGCGGATCTAGGACGACGTACGTTCACTGCGCTATTTTGTGAGATCAAAAGTAAGACTTACCCATGCTTTTATTCAATCTACTCAAATGGGACTCATTAATTTACTGGAGAATTTTCATTTTCGAAGGAATGTAGTGTAATGTTTAATCATTGTTTTCCCTCGAAATTTGGGAAATAAAATTAATCATTGTGTGCAACGCAGGGGAATATGTATGTTTATGATGTTTCTCGCTTTTTTGAGTTTTGGGGGAGAGAGGGCAATCAGTAGAATGTTAGTAGGTTTTTTTATATTCTAAAAAGAAAAACAACCAAAACTACTTTGTAACTTACTCTTAGTAGAAAAGAAAAAAAAACTAAAGTATTTTGAAAGTTACTCTATAAGCTTTATGCTGGGCTAAAGGTGTTCCATCTCACGATCTTCTTCGCTAATATGCGATCGCGAAATCTGCCTGATATACTGACAACAAATGCTTCACTATGATCGACCGAGAAACTCATCCAATCACACTTTTTTTTTTTGTCACTGTGCCGCGTTTTAATTGTCTTTGCTTCCATAGAGTCACTGTTTAATAATCTGATTCGACATAGGATTTTCTCAGTGTATTTATAATTTCCTAGGCAACATTGATGAAGCTGTTTAAAAATCCATGTTTTGTAGCTTTGGTCAATTTGTTTCTTGGAGAGAAAAAAACAGAGAAAAAAACCCTTAAAATTGAGATGAAAGGCTTTTACACTTAATGGACAGACCAGGTTTTGCTGTAAGTGAAAGTCATACAGAATCGTTCTAAACACCTTTCCCTAATTCATAATCAAACAGAAAGGGCCTATTTCGAAATAAACTGTGCTATAATTATTATAGTCCAAAATGGTACTTATACACATGACATTTTGAATGTAAGTTTCTGACTGACACGAGCAGTTATATAGTTTACGAAAATATTATTTTCTTTCTTAACTTTACAAGAAATTAAGTTTCAGATATTAACTACTCTACATGACATCAAAACCCTAAAAAGAACCTGCCTGTGCGAAATGTGCACCTTTATTTCATGCCAAGGACACTTAGTAAACTGTGATATCGATGTACAAAAAAAACTGTACATGTAGTACGTGAGGTTGACTCACTACAGAACAATCGGATTGGAAAGGGATTTCCCCTCTTCATGGCTTGTCAACAGAGGGCGCTGATTTTCTTACGCAGCATTCCGATCACCTGGCCGGCGAAAATGAACACTATTGGTCAACAGAGGGCGCTACTCCCCAGCGGCGAGTAAAACTCCCGAATAGCAAAATCTGCATCGTTTTGACAAAGATGCACGTACTAATGAATTTGGAAAATATTTTACATGGTAAATGATTGCATTTGAATTCGCTTTCAATAATATTTTTGATGATAATTCAAGAGTATTGATGATGTCTGGGTCAAATATGGTTTTAAACCACTTTGCATTTGCCCTTCTATCTTCTAGATTTAAATGACGATCCTGGTTTTCTTTGGCCAAAAAAAAGAGTCTCCGGTTTCTGGTATGCGCGCGCGTCGCCGTAGCCATGCGCGTCGGCAAAATGAAAAAGGTTTTTTTTCAATGAAAGATGATGTCTCAAAACCGCCAAACTCACTGGTTTGACTGGAATCCTGCTGCTGCACAATTTTAACGTGTTTTTAAATTGGGTAATGGTCGAGAATAATCTTTATGTGGCCTCTCTGGACTCCCATATATTTGCACTAAGTTTAGTCGGGCACCATTTTCAGTCATCAGCCGACATTTGAAGCAAAAAAATCAGGTAAAAAAAAAAGCCGCGTCGCCGCACCACTTTTTGGGCAAGCTCCATACTAGAAACCGGAAACTTTTTTTTTTTGGCCTTATATCTCTGACCTTTTTCTCAATGAGGGCCTAACTTGATCTTAAACATGCTTCATTTCAGTAACATGTGCTTGTTTTTATGCAAAAAAAGTGATCAAAATATGGTCATTTGTGGCTGCTGTTATATAGCCGTATCTTGTGGGAAATAGTATTAAGCATTTTCAAATTGGAACAAAGAAACACAGACAAACAAAGTAATCACATGAACCGGTTTCGAATTCCTTTGCTTACATTTCACAAATGTTGTTGCGAATTCGAATTCCCAAACTGACCCAACGTGAATTAGCTCTTGCAAATTTGAACAATGATACAAATGTGATGTTTAGCCCAGAAAACAAAAAAACGGGGAAAGAGGTGTCTATATAATTGGGCTAAAAAGCAGGTGGGTGCCTAAAAGTTCAAGGAAATCCAAAATTACTGGTTAGAAATCATTTTGACGTATAGGGCAAAACCTATAATTTGACAGTATTATTGTAAGCAACAATAATCCTTTATTTTGTTCGTTAGGCAACCCGTCGCCTACTGTTTAGCCAAATTTACCATGAACACCACACTAGTTTTCCCCTCCCCCCGGTATTTTGGCATATGATCAAGAATTTTTCATTTTTTCACATAATTCACCGTTTATTTTTGTTAGTAGATAGAAGTTTGTGCCAGTAGACAGAAGTTTGTGAATTTGAAGCTCATCAATACTGACCTTTGTCGAGAATGTATGAGTAAAAGGTATTTGCGCGCAACTTAATTAGGTATTAATAATAGCCATTTTGTATCTTTATTATGTCCTTATCCGGTCTCTGATATTGATTTCCTTTAGAAAATGTTATTCAAACAAGGAAATGTAGGTAGAATTCCAAATTCTGTTGCAGTTTGTATGTGTGAGTTTCACTTTAAAAATAGAAGTATTTTGCCTGGACTATAATTAACGAGACAGGAGATCAGTGCACAGTCCGCTATACAGTACGCAGTACCTATACAGATGTGCGTGTATATCAAGTGTATTTGTGCAGGGTCACATTCATATTTAGTTATGCAAATGGAGGTAGAATTTCAACCTCAATTAATGCAGGTTAAATTTCTACTTCTATGCAAGCCATAAGGTTCATTGTGCCATTTAGCTTGTGCGTTGGTGCATATTTTATTTAGTTTGTTTGCATATAAAAAAAACACTTCCCAAGGACGAAAGCCAATGCTTTCACGGTGGAAATAACCAAGTCTGTTCAACCGTGGGCGGAGGTGAAAGCATATCGCGATCGCCACTACTTATTCGTGTCCTCGCCATAAAAAAACACTTTACTCTCTCATCAGTGTGACTGGATAGCGTACAGAGAGCCGCAGAAAAAAAGACAGTTATTTGGAGCCCCTCGTGGAGATCGGTTGGTGTTTAGTAAAGCGCAAGTTGCCGCCTTATTATTGAGACTCACTTTTGTAACATCGTGGTAAGTTCATCTGGTTTTCTTCTTTTTTTCCATCGGACCTCCAGCTCCATTGACCACGAACCGTTCAGAGGTTTTCAAACGTAAATATATGTATCTGAACTGAACTGAACGTCGTGGTTTTTGCAATGCCGTACAGTTTCAAACCTGCACTGTAATAAAAAGTTTAACTATTGGGCAACATTGCCTAATACATATTGCGTTGTTTATATTTCGCCCAACGAATTATTTACCAACCATTTTTACATTGTAGTTTGGAGTTTAATTAACGTGTGATTCAGGAACGGGTCAATGTATATTCGCCTACCAATGCTGGCCAGCATGCACACATTATAGCAACACGACGACAAGGCCTAATGTCCTGCTAATCCCCAGAGCTTACGGCGACTTAAAGGACTGTACAGATAGGTTTCGGGTGAGAAGAACATGTGTTTCAATGGATGACTTTCGTTTTGGGCGTCCCTGTTCCAAATTAACTTTTCAAAAACTCAGACGAGATTGAAAATATGAACTCGTTCCCATTACTTCAGTCAGGTTGGCGTAGCAGTACTGTCCTCGCCTTCCACCGCTGTGACCCGGGTCCGAGTTCCACATGGGCCAACATACACGTGGCCGAGCTTCTCCCTGCCTCTTTCGGTTGCTTTTCCCTTTGAAATATTCTGTCTTCTCCTCTAAAACTGTAATTACTACTCACTATTATCCTTTATACAGGTTTCTTAACGCTTGCAAGCTACAGTACCTTTAGGGCGGTCTTTGGGAATCTTTGGTATACTAATTATAATAACTATTATTATAATAAGGTATAATACAAAAAACCAAGGCCGAATCCCTTATCCTATAGTGTTTATCAACACAGGCAATCATATATGACCAGTAATCCTCTAATCCATAATTCTACAGCGCCAACCACAAACGTAGTTTTTATGCGCCAAAGTAGTGCCCCATCCAACCTGCCTCTTTTGTTTGTTAGACCCTAACATATTCAAGAACCGGTCGTAAAACTTTTGCAAAGAAGTAAGGTGAGGCATTTAACCCAAATGGAAGTCTGGTCCAGCAAAAACAATTATGATTCCATTTAAACCCTAGCAAGGTTTGATGAGATGCACAAACAGGCACATGATAAAACCCATCCTTGAGATCAATTGTAATTAACTGGTCCTCACTCTTCACTAATGAATAAACATCAATTTTCTCGTTAGAAAACTTGGGAGCGTCAATGTAAGAATTAACAACAAGAAGATCAATAATAAGTCTCCACTTATTTTTGCCCTTCTTCGGTACCACATTCAGTGGAGAGACAACCCTAGGTTTAAAGGCACATCTGGCAATAATACCTTTCTGAAGCAAGTTCTTAATCTCACTATTCAAAAAGTTTTTTGATCACTTGAAAAATTTCTGTCAGGCAATTCAATCACCGGTGGGTCAGTGGTAAACGGTAGTGTAACACCACATTGAAGCCAACTAATAACAGTAGGAGACGCACCTATTTCTTGCCATTTGGAATAGTTAGAGAGTGGCATGATTGAGAACTATTCTCCTCCATATTGAGGTTGGTTGGGAAGATAGTTGGCTGCTAAGCCATGGAACACATCCGTTCTACCTTGACCACGACCACCTACACCTCTACCATAATTTCTATAAGTATAAGTACCCCTGCCTCTGGGGGGATATAACCTACAATTTGAACGTGCCCCTGATGTTGGTTTTCTTGAAGCTGCGGATAGTTCCGCTGCTAATTTTAGCTGGTTCACCCCTCGATCAGAGAAGCAAACATTGTTTTTCTGAAAGCTGTGAACCAACTTGGAGGTATCCTCGTCGAATTGTGATGCCACAATAACTGCCTCGTACTCACGCTGATTGTAGTCCAAGTTGGCTTTCAAAGTTAGAGCCAGCTGGTCCAAGATTGCTGGATCCACACTCTCATTCTTGTGAAGGTCGCTGTACGCTAGCTGAAGCACTTTCAGAACTGTTTCTACGTAGCGACTGCTTTTTTGTAGCAAAGGTAAAGTGCCCTCTCAGTTTTATTATTGGTACCTGTTGGGGCCCTCACACAGCCTGAGTGAAGAGTCCAGTTGTACTCGTGAGACGGTAGCCTTTACCGCGCTTAATTCCTTTTGGATGTCTTCTTTACTGATGGCGGCCGCACCGGTGTCAGTGGCTTGTGTGTTTGCCTGATTATCACAGGCGCAATCGGGCTTGTCGTGTTGTGTCGTTTCAACCACTAGTACAGGCAATATAAGGTTTGACTTCAAACAAATTGCAACAGAATTTTTTTTTACCACAGTGCATTTCTATAAGGTCCCTAAAATGACATACTAAAAGTCTTTAAAAATCCAGGTGGTGGAAATATGCCTAATTTATGTTAGGACTTTTGCATTGATTTGGTCATATTTCTCATACTAGGTAGATTTTGGAGGTACTTTAAAAGACAGTTTTAGTCCTTTTACATTGATGTTACCATTATTCTAGTCCTAGGTAAATTTCAAGATCCCTATGTTTCCGAAATTTTCCAAATGCCGTATAATTTGCATAAATGCCGTATATCAATTTGCCTAAATTAAAGTTAAAATAATGGATGCCATGTGTGGACATGTACCAAATGAATTTTCGAATGTCGTACGAAGTCAATTTCGGTGGCAAACCCCATACATTTGATACCTTAATCTTAATGACCTATTGCTGATGATGTATCCCAGATGGATGGCAGCCATCTAGGATTTGTCAAAATAGCTGCCATCTTGGATTTCATTTATAATAACATTGCACCTGCCCCCCCCCCCCCCAGTGAATACCTCTCTCATAATGAAACGGACCTTCCTGCTTCTGTATCCGACAGCGCATTATTGCCCTGTCAGATCATGCCCATTCAGAGTTTTGGTCAGGTGACCATGAATATTCGGTCGATCAAAACTCGGGTACAAGCGCTGTGAGAAATGCAAATAGGGGTCCGCTCATAAGTCCGACGCCTCATATAGGTCCGACGCCTCATAGGTCCGACAGAATCGCATCCCCTAACCAAATAAAGGCCCATAAGTCCGACGCCTCATAGGTCCGACGCCTCATAAGTCCGACGCCTCATAGGTCCGACGCCTCATGGCTCCGACGCTTCGTAAGTCCGACAAATTAAACGCCTCGTTTTTCCGTTGTCGGACTTATGAGGCGTCGGACCTATGAGGCGGAATAAATAAATTTTATGCCTCATAAGTCCGACGCCTCATAAGTCCGAAATTTTGGACATATGAGGCGTCGGACCTATGAGGCGTCGGACTTATGATTCGGGCCCTGCAAATACAGGGCGTCGCCTACCAATGTTAATTTTAATGGAGGGTGTTGACAGAAAATTGTCGACAGGCCGTCTGTACTGGAAGCTAGCCCGGGGTGGACACCATCCAACTTTTGGGGCATGTCGATCAGTGCCCCCAAAAGTTGGATGGCGTCTACCCCGGGGCCGCACTATTCAAAGCGAACGATCTTCAAACCATTATGGGAAGATAGGTTGCGCCACTCGTCAAAGCATATATTGGACAGGACGACAATTTTGCCAAAATTTATGTCACCCCAACCCTTCTCTAGTGGTACTCGTGTGTACTTAAACCAAAGTATATTTACCGACAGGACGACAATTTTTCCGACAAAACCAATTGATGGGGGTTCTCACACCCCTTCACACACGCTCAAATGTGTATCCTTGTGGAGACATTTCCTTGTTCTCGTGTAGTACAGTTTTCGAGTTTGAAAGTGAAGTTCCAAAATGCTCTTATTTTAACCAGAATTAATTTCCTTGGCTGAAATTCGGACTTAATATCCCTTTTCTAAAACTCTTCCATTTGCGACATATCAACCCAACTTGGAAATTTCTAGTTTTTGGGTCAAATCCATATATCTACTTCGTGAAAACCTTGTGGAGACCTACTCATCATTTTCATCATCTATAGAAATTGCCCTGTGGAGAACTATACAATCTTTTGTTCCCTATTGTGAAAATGTCTCCACAAGAATGCAAATTTGCGCTCACTAGTGGCACTCGTGTATATATACACAAACTCCAAAACTAAAGTATATTTGCCGACAGGACGATAGCTTTGCCGACAAACCGATTGATTGGGTGGAGGGGGCCAACACCCCTTCTCTAGCGACATACGTGAGTACAATTAAACCAAAGATGGACGATGGGACTTTTCACTTCCCATGGTCACTTCCACGGTGTATCAATACAAATGTCTTCCCAACATGACTGCCCCATTTTTTTTTCGTTAGAAAAGAACAGAAGAGACTTGAAATGAAGGGACACGCCTGTGTGATTCTCTTGATGTGCCTCAGCTGTGTATGTGCTACGGCACTTCGAGGTATGTACATGTGCATGTGATTGTAAGATAGACCCTATGTAAGACTTAAAGTGGGACAGATAGGGAAAATATTTGAGGGAATTGTGCCTTGGATGATACAAGCATGGCATTTGGCACACAGTCTTTTTGACCCTGTCTTTATCCTCTAACTGCGCTTTGTCTATACGATTGGGAATTAAACTATTCGCAAACACATGTATTTCCTCGTATAACGGCAGAAATGAGGAATAATACTAGTCTTGGTTAATATGTAAAGACTGGTAGAGGTAGCAAAAATTGTATTGTGTTGTAGCTTGTTTTAAGCATGCCATTACACAAAAACAGACGAATTATTTATACTTCTTAGCATCAAACGCAGTAAATGAGTAATAATGGCTTACGAGTATAGAACAGCCATACCATAAATATTCAAAGGACGGAGACATATTAAGTATTATATTAAATAACATTAAAGGTACAATTCAAGTTTGCGTTTACAAAATATATGACGAAAATCTTAGAGAAAACATAACAATAACATTACACAACTATAACATTTGTATGTCTATCCACTTTTTGACTTGGTTTGATTTCACTTGTTGTTTACTTTTCTCAGAGAAATCGGCCAAAGATGAGTTGCTTCTGGAATACCTGCGAGAATACCTGACCGAGTGTAGGTTTGCGTGATTGTTTGTATCTGTCATCTTTACTAATCTCACTTATAAGCATAGAGCTATATTAAGTTACTAGAGTGCTAACTCCTTATTCTTGCGCGTGTTTGTAGAACACAATCAAAATAGATGGATTGAATTTTAAATGTGTACTCTAAAAGTGCAACGCGCAAGTAGAAGATACGCAAATAACTTAAGCGCGTCATGACGGTTCAATAAACGTCACGGCAAAAAGCATCTGCAGCGGAGGGACGAGCATACGTTGCGCTGTTTGCGTAGAGCAAAATGAAACGCTCATTTGCTGATCGTGCGTTTCGGTTTTGAGCGTATCGGCTTCGATGACACACCGGTATGGAATACAAACGCATTAACGCCCTGGTTACCGTGCGCACGACGCTTGCGGTGTTAATATGGAGGTCTTCTGAAAAAAAGTTCGACTACAAACAGAAGAGGGACAACAGGACGTTCAAGGTGGGAGGTCGATGCTCGACTATCAGCCTGCACGTATGCAGTATACTGTTCCTCCCTGGGGATCTCGAAAGTGGTCAAAATGTGCCATCTGCTGACATGTACAAAGCCCATTACCATTAGTGTTTTTTTAGCATTTGGTACTGCATCCCCAATACATTCTTTGGAGTTCAGGGTTAAAGAAGCATGTTTCCTGGCTCTTATTTTCTTTTAATTCAGTGAAAATTGTACTTCATCCCATTGTTAGGCATTTTGCAACCCACTAAAAAAGGGCGTTTTGCCTAAATTAAACACTCACTGACAAATTGTCTTGCAGCTAATAATTCAAGTTTTGTGAAGAAATAATTAAAATAACTAAATGTCGCTTTTTGACAAAATCTCATTCAAAAAAATGAGTAGGTTTTGCATTTAATTTTGACAAAATAACCAAATAAAATTCTGCTATACCTGTTTTATTACTGCTTTAACAAAAGGACATCTCTTCGTGGAGAGTGAGCGTGCGACTTTTAAGAGATTCACAACAGAAATATCAGATGAAGCCAAACTGCCAAACACACTAATGTGTCACATGGTCACACGGACCTACCTTGATTTGTCATGGCCAAATTGCCAAACTTGTGCAAATATTTGAAAATAGAGTAAACTTTTAAAATATGCAATTCTTTGCCATGCGGAGTTAGTGTGTGTTCTTGGTTAATTAAGCACACCCTTAAAGGTATCCTTAAGCAGTGTAAAGACGATGGACAACATTAAACAAAAGTTACAAACAAAACAATCCCCCTTCCTTCCTGAAAGTCTGTGAAATGTTCACGAAAAATAGCACATTCATTTGTATAATTTCAGGCAGTTGTAGTTGGAAGAATAGTCTCTGCTATTTCAGACATTGACATTTGCTTGTAGTAATTTAAATCTTAATACTTGAACAGTCCAACTCTGAAACGCCATGTCTGGAAAAGGTACGTGTTAACCCATGCATCCCTGTACCGCGTCAGTCTGCAGAAAACAACTGCTACTCTTTGTAAGGTACTGCCCCAAACCACGGAAAGTTCCTTTTATTATCATTTTCAGCAGGGAATCTTCTTAAATGTAGTATAATGTAATACAAGCGTGAAAGTTAATTCTGTCTCTCCCTGTGGGAGTGCAGTAAAGAGGGGAGATGAACCAGAAGCCGTGCCAGCTCAGAGGGGTACTGAAGAGCTTACCCGCGACTACCCACCGCCCAAACAAATGGACTTGCAGACGCTTCAAGAACTTGACGCCGATGATGAAAGTCTGGTCAAGTACAAGCCAGCTCTACTGGGTAGCACTGCAGATTTTTTAGGTACTGTGCAAATACATTCAAACAAAAAAAGAAAAACAAGACAAAGTCTATATCTGTCTAAGAACAGAATATATAGGACCTTTCAGTGTTATGATCTTGTTACTGGTTTATGCTTTTCTGTGGAAGTGTATGTGCGTGTAAATGATCGAAATATGAAAAGAAAGTCATGTTTTGGATGACATTATACCAAGTCACAACTTTCTAACACAATTGGGCTGATAGTTGTGACTATCAATTTTGAGTTGAGCATGTTGTGTTCGTTCGTGAAATATGATTATAATCTTCAAAATTTCAAAAATCACATTATGACGTCATAATAATCTCATTTAAATTTTCGTCTATAACACATCCCTGTCCATGTACCTTCAAGGTTTCAACCCAATCGAACTTGTAGTGCTCTAGATATAAAACTTAAAATCTTCTTTAAGATGACGTCACCTGTTTGGTTTATGTTAATTCGAAAGCGCCCGCCTATGTGCGGCTGTGCGCTATATTTCTTTTGTTGCTGGCACAAAATGGATAAGCCAGTTAAAGAGGTTGTGGAATGCTCGAAGACATTTCCGTCATTTTTCGGGTATATGTAGCCTAGGGTGTGATGAAATAAAAACGCCTATTGTTTCTGTCATGAAATGAATACAAAAGGTACTTTTTCGAGCTGTTTTTCAGGTCCTGTTTCGACCCGAACGTGCAATTTGTGTAAAAGTCGTCGTTGGGGGCAGCAAACAAAACATAGTAAATCGTGACGTAATAAACAGGACTCCCGATGCAGCGTAGTTCCAGCGAAACTTTTTGCAAATCACTTCGCGCAACGACATGACTTTGTTTACAATTACTCTGAGCGACATTTTGTATGGGCAGCCACATGCTCCATAAATTCAACCGTAGTTGGCAACAGCTTTTGCCCCTGAAATTCTAATCGGTAAGTTTAGAATTTAATAGGAAGATATCTCCATTGACTTTTTGGTACTTTCTATTGATTATTCAGTGTTTTGATAGTTACACATCATATTATTTATAGATCGGGGATCATTCTTTTGTGTTTGCCCTAACGGCCAACCATAGTAAGAAATGTCTGCGTACATCAACATCGTTCGATCGTTCACATGCACATCGCCATATCGCATCACCGTACCGTGACACGCGCTATGTATTAAAGGTGGCTGGAAATTCACGGGTGTACTGGCCCGGGCCCGGCCGCTGGGACCGTAGATTTTGACACCGGTAAACGGTGTTGGAATTTCAAAATAATTCGTTGTTGATACGTGTACGGGTAGCGAACGCACTAGGCCAAGGCAAACCTATATGCCTATAATTGTGTCAGTCGCTGGCTGTAACTTCACACCACATTTTGTTTGCAATAAATTTCCAGCTTTCCCGTCCGGGTGTCATCATGGAGGAATAAGAATCCTCCGTAGCCATGCAGTTTGTCCGAAAGGTACCGTGCGAAAACACGAGATCGGATTTCAGCCAAATTAACGGATAGAGCGCTGATCATGCACTGTACATTTCGTACGGCAAGAGTCTTCTTTTCTCAAGAGATTTGTTGAAATTGCATGGACAAGAAATAATAGAGATATGATTTGTTAATGATTTATAGGGAAGACTGTTTTGGACCATTTGTCCATTGCCAATCTTGAAGAACCGTAAACCCGTTCAAATGTATCCTCGACCCTCCATTATCTGCGCAGCATACGCGCACGCGTTGCAAATTGAAGGTAAATGCGTAGAAAAAGGACCGCGTAGTTTTCCTTACGTTAGTGCTGATTATGTGACGGGCCTACATTTTCCCTAGAACTTCTTTTGATCGAATGACAAATTCTCTGCTACTGGAATTTCTTGAATAAAGTCTTAATTAGGTACTGAAAATAATGATAGTGCTCGTTAAATTTCGGGACCAGTGAATTTTGTTTTCAACCGGGATCCCGAACATGTCGTAAGTCCAGAGATTTTTGTTTTATGAACGGAGCATGACTATGATTTATGAATTGTACTTTTTTGTAGCCACGTTTACAGGCCGAGGTTTACATAGTCTCCTGGCGTTGTTTTACGGCTTTTTTTTGGGTAAACAATAAAGTTAACAATTTCAAAATTCAAGTAAATTCGTAATTATCGTTTCAGGATGTTAAAACAAGGGTTAAAATGCACAAGGAAAGAAAAGAGAAGAGGACTAATTTTTTGTGGCGAACGTATACATAAAAAGCACCAGGCAACGCAAGGAACTTGACCGGGGCCCGCGACGCTGCTAACCGTACAACATTATTTCTGGACACGGTCGACCACATCCACCGCCGTGATGCGTAATGCGTGCCGTACGCATATAATTCGAAAACAACCTGACGATTTGTCGTCTCTTTGGACTGAATAACGTTTGAGATTGTCGGTAAAACACGAAGAAAGTTGCGATAGGACTGTTGATGCTCATCTAAAAATCAAATGTTATCATGAACATAATACTTTGAGTCCTTGGATAAAACGTAGCTGTTTTTTTTCCACGCCGAACGTCGCAGACCGAACAACTCATCAGAGCCGCGTTGCCTGGCGTTTTCAGCTGGCCAGTTGCAGTATCCGTGTTTTTGCTGGTCTCTTTTTCGGGCAGTTGGGGCTCAAATTTATACGGAAGAACAGCTCAGATGTCACCGTGTCCTTGTTCAATATACTCATCCAAAAATTAAGCAATGGGAAGGAATATCAATCTCTGTGAGTCTTTTACAAATGTTGATTTTTCACTGCTTGACTGCGAGTCACACGTGCTGACGGGGCGGGTTGGGCAGCAGTAAACAGTCGTTGTATAAACGAGTCCTGTTTATTACGTCACGCTTTTTCTGATTTTTCGAAGAGCCCGACGACTGTTGATTTCATTTATGCGCTCGCCGACCAACAAATTACTCGATGAATTTCAGTTTTATAAACATATAAACGCACATCAGAAAAGAATGGGAGGTTGTCATTATGCTATATATGGGTCTACTCTACAATATAAAAATATAAAAAACAAAACGATTTTCAGCATTCCACAACCTCTTTAAATACGTATACATGTGCTTTAGATGACCTTTTTAATTCCTTAAATTTCAGATGAAGGCGGTCAAAATGTACTATTGAAGGCCATGGTATTTGCTCCAGTAGACCACGAGGAAACTGTTCTGAATCTGACAGGTAAACGAAAACACAGGGCAGTTCCACAGTTATATTTAGAGGGGGGTCTTTCGTAAACTCTGTGCTGTCATTCTATAAATTCAAAGCATTTGGGTTGATTTTTCGGGGACGTCTCTACAGTCCGAAGTCCCATTGGTCCGAAGTCCTATTGGTCCGAATTCCCATTGGTCCGAAGTCCCATTGGTCCGAAGTCCCATCGGTCTATACGTTCCATTGGTATAAACGTCCCATTGGTCCGACGTCCCATTGGTCCGAAGTACCATTGGTCCGAAGTCCCATTGGTCCGAAGTCCTATTGGTCCGACGCCCCATAGGATTAGGGTTAGGGTTAGAGTCAGTCAACCTGAACAAGTGGAACTACACAGTATTGTGACGAAACAGGGGTACATGTATATGAAGACTTGTGTAGGAGTCTAAGTCCTATGAATTATTTATGCGCGTGATCTAGGACATTTGGTGCGTGCTTATAATGCCAAAGTGCGCGTGGACCAATCAGCAATAAATTGTTCTGCGTGATCAGGAGATTAATAATTCATGGTGTACAGTGACCAATCAGCAACGCGTATTGTGAAGGCTGTGCGCGAATTAGCATGCTTTAGCGTGGGGTCTTGAGATCATCTCGTGAGTTCGCAAGATGGCGTCAATGCAGTAGGAACGCGTTCTGGGGCTGTTGCCAAGTTGCAAGAAGCCAAGCTTCGGGGATAAAAAAGACCAGTCCCCTCGGGTTCCCGCCAACACCCACCGGTTCCGCTACAAATGGTGTCAGGATCGGTTTCGCCACAGTATTCTGTTTCGGACCAATGGGACTTCGGACCAATGGGACTTCGGACCAATGGGACTTCGGACCTATGGGACTTCGGACCAATGGGACTTCGGACCAATGAGACTTCGGACCAATGGGACTTCGGACCAATGGGACTTCGGACCAATGGGACTTCGGACCAATGGGACTTCGGACTCATGGTACTTCGGAATATTTTTCTCACAGAAAATCTTTTGAAATTAGGCGCACATTCTACAGAAAGGGCAACAAAACCAACTTCTGTTGGTCTGGCAATATTTTTTGTCATTAGTAGGCATAACGCACGCTACCAGAAAAGGACAAGGCAAAACAATTATGCAAGTTGCACCACACTGCCCCATGAACGGCGAAGTGGTTGTCGACTAAGTGGTTGTCGGCGAAGTGACCGATACCCGGGTGTCGGCTGTCATGTGCAAGCTACCAGTTCAATTATCCAAACAAACAACAACAAAAAACAATCGTAAAGTTTCTAGAGGGATATCAATATTGGTAACTCACGTTATGGTAGGTATCTCACAGTGCAGTCTGTCCACGTTGGTAAATATATAATATTTTGTTTGTAACTATATTCCCAAAATTGGTATAGCGAGGACACGAACGACAAATGCATTACAATGCGCCCTGAAAATCGCCACGTTTGCATAATCGTCGGTTTTGAAGACCGCCCGAATTGGAAGATGGTATACCAGCCCCCTCCCCCACCATTTTCTGATATTACGGATGCCAAAAAATGTCCGGAAAAAAGTGTCTACATTCCAGCATGGATGTGCGAGTGTCCCGTGTTGCCCCCCCCCCCGACATCAACAAAAACAATACTAAAAGCCAACCCCCAAAAGGCTATTCGCATTAAAAAAAATTGAACCTTACTTCTTTGCCTTAAAAAAAGAAACTCACATTACATGTAACACTTTGTATGTGAAAAAGGTGCCTAAATAACTTCCTAACAGCCATAATTTTTTTAACAATCATCCCCTCCCCCCCCCAATTTTTTTTAAAACAAAAATGCACTTAACCATATTCTCACTTCAGTCCCCCCTTAAAAAATAGTGGACCCGCAGGTGCCTGCCTAGACGTTTAACCCTAGTTACGCCTCTGGTTAGGACTTAGCCTTGGCATGATCGCAACAAACAATTTTCTCGAATACTCGGGCACTCCCTGTGACCTATGGGTTCTATGTACAACAAATTCTACGAGCTGCATTTTGACGGTTGAAAATATACAGTTGTTTTTTGGGGGGATGGGTTGATTTTTTTTATTATTTTTTTGCAGCAAGGTGTTCACAAAGGATTTGATAGCTCAGAATCGAACGATGTCTGCTATTAATTAACAGACTTTAAATTGGTCAATTTCATAAACAACAACAAATGCAAGTGATGCTATGTGGCTTTAAACTGAAGGTTGTCTTCTTTTGAATTTGTTTTGTTTTCCCAATTTTCACTTGCATTGTCACACTTTTTTCATCCTCTTTGCTTTGTTCAAAGGTGATATTTCTCAATTGAAGCATAAACCAATTGTGGTTAAGGAAGGCACCGAGTACAGGATTAAACTCAAATTCAGGGTGAGTTGATTCTAATTTATATTGTCAGTGCCTACCTTTCAAGAATTGCATCATTGGAAATGCAACAGCCACATTATGGATCTCGCTATTGTGCGTAGCATGAAGATTAAAATCAAATTTAGGATTAATAAAATCAAATTTAAGGTGAGTAGATTCTATTATATCGGAGCCTGCGTTTGAAATATTGAATCATGGAAAACACACCAACCAGAAAATTTTGGGGATCATGTTCTTGCTAATGTGCACACCATGGGGCATGCTTGGAATTTTCTAAAAGGGAATATATACACCTTAATCATTTGCAACATAAACAAAATTAAAATTATAGTCAAGGGCCCATGCGTCATATGTGAAATCATTGCACCTGGTGTGCTGTCATTTTCAAGAAAAGTGGATTATTTTGTACTGCCCATCAGTGGAAAAAAAATACTATTTTGGTTCAAATACTGCCCCCATTTTAACAAGTTTAATAACTCCACATTGGTTTGAAGTTACACATCCGTGAACGGGTGGAGACCAGTTGATTCAATTTCCTGACCTGACAATTCCCCGTCCTCTATAAATTGGTCTGTTTCGTCTGAAGTAAGGTCAGGCAACTAGACTACAAGAACAGCTTTCGGTTTTTCTTTTCTTTTAGCATCTGCATGTATAAACACAAACTTTAACAGGTCGATATTTGACGATATTTGCTGCAATATACTCCGCCCAACTACATCCTTTCTGAAAAGTACAGCAAAAGAAAAAGTTGTGTATTTCCTTTAACTCCCAATGCCGAGATAACGCCCTTTACCTTTCAGGCGGCTTGGCTGCACTTGCCATGAATTAGCTGCTTTGCCATCAAATAGGCATCAAATGGTCATCAAAAAGGCATCACATTCTTTTAGGCATCATTGGACATCAAAAGAGTAGCAATTTGAGCAAAGTTTATAAAGAAAAACATTAAAGGCGTACATTAATCAGTCATCAAGAAACATATAATTGATGTAAAAATTATGACTGCTGATGTTCATCTAAAGCTCACGGCATTGTTAAGGCATCAATATAAGGTATCGGGAAGGCATCAGAAGTCATCACTGAGCATCAGGCATCACAGGCAGTTATCAAACAGGCATCAAACGGGCATCAAACAGGCATCAGAAGTCATCACTGACTGTCAGGCATCAAAGGGGCATCAAAGAGGCATCAGAAAGGCATCATTAGTCATGACTGACCATCGAGCACTGAGGAATAAAGAGGCATCATAAACCTGACTGGCCTTCGAGCATTGAGGCATCAACGAGGCAGCAGCAAGGCATCAAAATTAAGTCATCACTAGCCATCAGGCATCAAAGGGGCATCAAAGAGGCATCAGGAAATCATTGAAAGTTATGACTGAACATCGAGGAATTGAGGCATCAAAGAGGCATCGATCAGCAAGGAATCAGAATTAAGTCATCACTTGCCATCAGGCATCAAACGTGTATCAACGAGGCACCAGAAAGGCAGCACAAAGGCAGTAGAGGTCATGACTAACCATCGAGCGTTGAGTCATCAAAGAGGCATCAGCAAGGCATCAGAAGTATGTCATCACTAACAATCAGGCATCCAAGGGGCATCAATTAAAGAGGAACCAGGTATTAGAAGTTATGACTGACAATCGAGCATTGACGCATCAAAGAGGCATCAGCAACACAATAGCATTAAGTCATCACTAGCCATCAGGCATCAAAGCGGCATCAATGAAGCACCAGGAAGGCATTCGGTGGTCATGACGGCCACTCAGGCATCAGAAAGGCATCACGAAGGCATCACGAAGGCATCATAAGTTATGACTGACCATCGAGCATTGAGGCATCAAAGAGGCATCACCAAGGCATCAGAATTAAGTCATCACTAGCCATCAGACCTCAAAGAAGCACCAGGAAGGCATTAGAAGCTACGACTGACCATCGAACATTGAGGCATCCAAGAGGCATCAGCAAGGCAACAAAATTAAGTCATAACTAGACTTATGTTTGTGGACAAACACAGGGCTGTTTCGGTAATTTTTTGTGACATGTGACATGTAAAGTTTTAGGTATAAGTTCCATCCAGGTAGGATGTGTAGTTCTGTTTATAATAAATGGTGGCATATAATATGTGATTACATTCTCATAGGGCTTTGAATTGCATATAATACGTGATTACATTCTCATAGGGCTTTGAATTATGACACAACATGTCACGTGATGAATTCATGATGACTCACATCAGTGCTCATCTATATTAATTGTTTTGTAAATGACAATTAAGGCAGAGCATACATCGTTGAAAGCAAGTTCACTATCAATTCTCGAAAAAGTCATCTTCAGGTCTGTCACGGTTGATTTTATATTTATTTTCAAAGATTAAATCTATTTATCTTAAACGTGACGTCACGTGACCCATGATGACGTCATCATGATGCCACTTCATTTTTCATCCATAACACATCCGGGTTCTAGGTACATACCAACTTTCAACCCGATCGGACCTGTCGTTCTGTAGATATAGGCCTTCAAAGCATATGACGTCACTTGTCACGTGATGACGTCATCATGACGTCACGTACATTTTCATCTATAACACATCCAGGTTTAGGTACGCACCAAGCTTCAACCCAATCGGACCTGTCGTTATGATGATGACTTCTGCACTCAGGCGTGCGGTCCGAACAGAATAGATTTAATAGTAAGGTTTTTCGTGATTCTTGAGTTGTTGTCTTTGGTTTTTTTTTGGTCTGTATCCAATAAAGGTCCAACGTCAGATTGTCTCTGGACTGCGGTTTTTTTACGTTGTTTCCAGAAAGGGCATCAGAGGTGAGTGAATGTACGGTGTTGCATTTTGATTTTAGTCACACAATATCCAGTCCAGTCCCAAGGCCTTTCACAAGCTGTTGAAATGACCTCTGACTATTAAATGCATTCTTTTGTTATTAGTCATCCTCTACTACTTATGACCAGATTTTTAAAATGTATTTGTGATTTTTTTGTGAATGGACTTGTAATGTACTGAACTTGAATAGAAGACTGCATGGGTGCGCCTTTTTGTGAGAAAACACCCGTAGTACAGGGTAACCATCTGACACAATTTTTCTGGACCCCCCTCCAAAAAAAGTCTCAATGTGACGCGACATGGTGCCCTAATTAATAGCTGCCTTTTCTTTGTTTGTGCTGAGGAACCATCGCGGTTAAGGGTATTGCTTAGGGATGCAAAATCTTTGATCACTTGTAAATCTACTTTAATTAATGCTGAACATGGATAGAACAAAATAGGGTGTAGGGAATTTCTAGAAATGCTTGAATTTTAAGTTCTAAATAGGCTAGAATATGGGCACTTTTTTGGAGAGGGGGGGGGGGGCAGGGGGCATGACCTCCGCCCCCCCCCTTCCGACTGCAAAAAAGAAGTGATGCCAGAACCACCACTGTTCAAAACAAATTATGAAATGAAGAATTTAACCCAAATACAGATAAAACTCATCATCATACCAAAGTATTGCTTTCACACATAGCTACAGTCAGTGATGCACTAAGACAAAGTAACATCAGGCAGAGTGCTCAGCAGATCAACGGGATGTAGTGAGAGACTGTAGCATTTAGATTAAGGATGAAAATAGCGTGGCGAAACCGTTCCCGCTTATACTTCTAATACCATTCGTGGCGGAACCGGCGGGTTGCCGGAACCCAGGTGGATTATTTATCCCAGGACTCAACCAACACCTATTATCCCAAAAAAATTTTTTTATTGGCCTCGCGCAAGGATGACCTCAATTACCCTTGTTATTGCCTGAACATCCTTTTATCCTTGTCAGTGTGTTGCAAATTCAAACTTGTTGAGAAATTTATTATCCGCTCCGTTCGCAAGTACCCCGTCATCAGCAAAGACCATACAGTTTGGGGTGACCAACCGACGCCATCTTGCCTGACTGCAATTTTGCCGCAAAGCGCAGCCACTCCGTGTACATAGTTCAATTGATCCTGATTTCATCAAACTCTTCGTAACTTACGATGCATCGCAGCGCTGCGACGCGTCGTATCCCTACGATGCGTCGCAGCTACGACGCGTCCTGCGATCCATTTCACAAAACACTTCGTAAGTGCGACGCGTCGCTTGTGTATTTATAGCACAACTCGGTGACTGTTTTATGTATTCAGTAGTCAGCGTATAGTAAATAGTCGTCTGATATTCAACAAAGAGTCGTCGGATCTCAGCTCGAAATTTGTTGAAGCTTAAAACAAGCTGTAAGTGGACTGTATAGCTACTTTGAAATTTCAAATCAATATTCCAGTCTAATTCATATTTATTCAATGAATTTTCTATTTACAATTTTACACACATTGCCTCAGTATTATAATCTACTTTATGTAATGTTTGTGGCATAAAACTGGCTAAAAAAAGGACTCTTCTTATTTTGCGATGACTACTAGACACGTCGTAATTTGCGACGTGTTTTAAGCTGTTGTCAAGGAACTTACGACGCGTTCAACACATCGCAACTTTCGTGAAAAGGATGATACGACGCGTCGCGAGTTGCGACCACTGATCTCTATATTGCGACGTGTTACACGTCGTAACTCGAGTTGCGACGCGTCGCAGCGCTTCGTGAAATCGGGTGCAGCAGGTGTGCAAAAATGTATCACACACAAGGAACAGCGCGCGTCAACTAGCGAAATGTCCCGCCCATGGGACGTTGTTGCTAGGTAAAATGGCGCCCTCTTTGTTGGCGCACGGAGCCCATCCCCAAGAACACATCACGACAGCTGATCGACAAATGGGAAATAACAAACCTATGAGCTTGCATACTTAAGCAGGGCTCGAAAGGTTCACGGCTGGTCAGTTGGACATTGCAGTCAGGCAGTCCAATTAATCATTACCGGTCGAGCTGGTAATAAAGCTGGTCAGTCGGTCGGTCGGTTGGCTGGCTCCTCAAATCCAGGAAATGCAAATAACATGTACAGTTTGAGTCAAAAAAAAGCGGAACGCCAACCCCCAAAAACATATTTCATATTTTAAATAGTATGTTGCACCGAAACTAATAATGACTGGAAAGCTAATTTCATAGAAGGCAATTTTAGATTTAAAAAAATTGCTCAAACATTTTTCAAAGAATATTACCAATTAAATACGGTGACCCTAAAACTTAAAATGCGATTTCAAGAGTAGTCGTCACATTTGTCTACAAACATCATCAGCAATAAAACCTAAGTTTAAAACTTTAAAATATTTCACAAGGTTCTTTTGAAGGCCCGTCTTCTTTGTTTTATTTTAAAGTGGATTGTAGAAGTGATATTGTTTGCCTAAGCAGGGTTGTTGGTAAAGATATTATGTACTAAAGTTGTTGACAGTTGTTAAAACAAGTATTCCGTGTCATTATCTTTGTTGTTCCAAACAGAACACAATATATTACTCTCTTTTTTTGGAAGAAACGCTTTTTAGGGTCATTTTGTTTAAATGGTGATATAGGCCTATTCTACGAACGGATTATGCAATTTCATTTTTTTTTTTTATCTAAAAGCAGTTTCTGAAATTGGCTTTCCAGTCATTATTATTTTCGGTGCTACACATTTTTACTATTTTTGGGGGTTTGGATTCCGCTTTTTTGGACTCACCCTGCATAAGCCAGAGTTGTAATGAGTCACTGATTTTAGTGAGTCGAGTCGAGTCATTTTAAAGAAGTGACTCGAGTCGAGTCAAGTCATTAGGTCAAGACGGTCGAATTGAGTCGAGTCGAGTCACACTGTGTGGTCGAGTCGAGTCGAGTCGAGTCAAGTATTTAGCTCGAGTCACAGATATTTGAGCACTGCATACACTATACAATAAATAAACACAATAGAGAAGTCATTTTTTTGGCTTTTTGATTTTTACATTCGGGCTACTACTAAGTGGGTGCCAGCTGATCGTCATTCAACTAATGGGGACACTGATCGAACCACGTATGTATATGTATACATTATTCGCGAACGTCATTGCAAATATTTTTCGCAAAGTTTTGCTTTATTTTTGGGACTCAAGTCTCAATAGCCTTCCTCGAGTCGAGTCGAGTCATTGTGATGAGGGACTCGAGTCGAGTCGAGTCATTTGCTCGCAAGGACTCGAGTCGAGTCGAGTCATTTGCCCTTAGGGACTCGAGTCGAGTCGAGTCAAAATATGTGACTCGAGTCGGACTCGAGTCGAGTCATTGACTCGAGTCATTACAACCTGGCATAACCCCAATCAACCACTTGTTCTTTGCAGTGGACAATGCAGATTATATGGTTGGGAGTTACGGGCCCAAAACGGAGGAGCACATCTTCCAGACTCCTGTGGATGAGTTACCCGCGGGTATGATGAACCGTGCTCTCTACATTGTCAAGTGTAAATTCTCAGACGATGACAAGAATATCTACTTGGAGTGGGAGTGGAGTTACTCCGTTAAGAAAGATTGGGAATAAGATTATAGTGATGATTTCCTACAAAGGAAATTGGTCTATTGGAAGTGCGGTTTACTTGTAGATGAAGCTGTTGGTTTTTGAGGGGGTACATCATGAATGTGAGATTCTATATTGAATTTATGTTATCATGGTTCAGCAAGTATAGGGATTATGTTAGTCAAATGTATAACACAACATATACAATGAATATGTAATTGATTTTTTTTCCCAAAGTGGCACTTTTTTTTGAAGGAATTAATTGAGGCATTAGTCATCAGCATTGCCAGTGATGACTTTTTTTAGTCTCTCAGAAAAAGGAACTGCATGTTTTCCCCAAAAATGTGTACATGTATAGGCCTATGGATGCCATCATCCATGTACAGAACAAAACAAATGACGTATATACTTGTTTTGTATGAACATTGCCTTTTTTCAAAGTTTATCAGAGCAACTTGTACAACTCTTTCATTTTGTGGAGGTCTTTAAAACAACGCATTTATTAGAAAATACATTTTGATGATGCTATTTATTGTAATCGCTTATTAAATTACTTTTGGGAATTAATGAAACATGTTGGTTGTATAGCAGGCTTTAATTGTTTTATCTTATTTTTATCTTTATTTTAGGCTGTAATTAGACTATTCTGCCATAGATATAGATATTTTCTTTTGTTATATTTTAATTGCTAAAGGTTTGGTTTAATATGTGGTTTTGCTTTAAGTGCATAATATAATGTTATATCTCCGCAATGATGTATGGCTTGTTTGCCATAGTAGTGACCTGGTGTCTTCTATGTTGTCATCTAATTCATGGAGATTTTGACCAAGCGCTTTGGGAACTTGGTAACATAAAGCCACCAGTATTACGACAGTTGCATGCCTATCATCCGACAAGCTATTTTTGTCAGCACTAGAATGTAGTTTCTTTCATGAAAGAATGGAATACATTACCTCATCAAATAACGATCAGCCCATGTTGGCATAAATCTCAAGATGAAGGCAAAAGACGAGGACCAAAATGACACGTTATTTGGAAGCATCTGTGTACTTTAACAATGTAGTAGTTTCCATTTTGGATTGGCGAAGCCCCCTATACCTTGGAAGTGGGCCAGAGGCATGCGTATTGATTTTTGTGAAGCCCCTTCAAAGAAGTCGTCTGTTAATGGTCATTGTCTATAAGCCATTTGCATTCTGCACACAAATGTTAATGTTATATATTTCACCAGGTTAGTTTTGAATCAATACCAGGTACAATGTGGAACCATTCCACATTGATACTTTGTCTTCCATGTCTATATAGAAAGCAATCTTGATTCTATAGTTTAGCATACTCAGGAACAAGTCGGTAAGGGTCGGTAATGAGTAGCAGTTCAACTTTCAGGGATGTTTTGTTTTGTTTGTTTACCTTGTGCTTCCCGTCTACGTCACTGAACTTTAACCAAGTTGAAAAAAGTCGAACATTCCATTTTCAAAGTGCTGACTCAGTATCAGTACGAAATCCAATCAACACCTGCAAAATGTAACGTTATCCGATGATATTTAAAAAGTACAAAAGTCTATGTTACACAAGGCTCTATACAGGGAAAAATACCATCGTGCGCTTAACAAAAACAATTTAAAAAATTGTCATACTCTTTATATCAAATTATCCATATTGGGCCTTTTAGTTTTGAAAAAAAAATTCAACTGGATTCAAGTTTTCTGTGCCTCTTCTGTTAGATTAGCCTATATGACTTCATTGGATGCAGTCGCAAATGAAAAGAAAGTCAATGTCTACCTTATACTCGTAATCATGTTTCAGTTTGGTACAGGAATGGATAGATAAATAAATAAATAATGCTTATATCTTTTTGTGAGAGAGTGTTTTAATTTGTTCCATATAAGGTCTGCAAACATCTATTTAAAATCTGCTATTTGGGGACGCTAGTTTGGTGCACTAACAGCAACACCTCCTGCCCCTACATTATCGATGCTGATAGTGGCGGGTATAATTACGGTCTACCCTTCGAGAACTGACCCGCTTACCGTGGTCAACGTTGACCGTTGGCTTCGCGACCGTCGGACCGTTGGTCTGGCGAAATATTAAACGTTGGATATGTTGGTTCGACAATTCTTTTGGACGTTTGGCCATCAACGTTGGATTAACAAAAAACAAGTTGGCGCAACGTTATTTCGCCAACTTTGGGCGACGTATCCCCCCATCCTGCCAATTACGCTCATATATACGACGCATTGGAGTAACGTCGGCCCGACCAATTTTTGACGTTAGGCCAAATTCGAATACGTGCAAACTGTTTCGTCTGAACAATGTTGGAAGCCGACGTCAAATATTACTAATAACTTCTGAACAACAACGTTGGCAAACCAACTTTATACTAGTATGTAAACCGATCGTCAACGATGGCATATAATAATAGCAGGCCGACGTCGAATATTAGGCCTACAGACTTTTTACTAACTATATTGAACAACGTTGGCAGGCAAACCTCAAAATACAAACTGATCGTCAGTGTCGGCACAATTAACGTACGTTGGCAGGCTGTCCTCGAAACTGTTTACCGTAGTCACCGGCAGCTGCCAGCCGGCCAGCGTCATTACCGATCACCAAGTGTTAGCCAGAACGGGCAGGCCAGGCCGACGTCGGCAAAATGTTTGCATGCGACGTCTTCAGTTAACGTAAGTACAACGTTGTCAGGCCGACATCAAAACATATACACACCCGACCGATCGTCGACATCAAAATATATACACACCCGACAGATCGTCAAAGTCGGCAATAATATTACGCGGAACTAAAAACAGACCAGGGGTGTCAATCGCTTCTCAAAAGTTGGGGATATACCTTGATCAGAACTAATGCGAGTGCGAAGCGCGAAGCCCCTACAGCGTGGGGGGGGGGGCAAGTGCCGCGAAAAATTTGGTTCTTGACACTCTGCGTTGTGCGATCTGAGGCAATTTCTGACAACTTTATTTTTTTTGTCTGCAAAAGATAATCGTTTAAACCACATTTTCGAGTTTGGAGTCATTGACTCAGCTATATTCTGTGCTATAGACGTGGGGTTCGGGGCAAGCGCTTAAAAGGGCCCTGTAGGTCCTGAAATCCCCGGAAAACTGTTTTGGGTCGTTTACTCATCCTAATTCGAACATCTTGTTTAAAAGAAAACAACCTCATGTCTTACCGTTCCCGAGAAAAGACGATAAAACCCCGGGTGTTTACAGCGGACCCTACGGAGTACACTCTAAAAAAGCATTAGTCAGTTTCGACTAGAAACCAGTGAAATTTGACTAGATATTCAGGGTCAGCTGGGTGCAACTGAAAATCAGGCAGTATAACTAGATACTTCCAGTCAGTATTATTGACTTTGGAAAAATAGTTATGCAAATAATTGAAATTGGAATCGAACCTACTTTTTCTAGTCATAGTATGAAACTTTGCATGTTTAATTACATTCCTAGTCAATTTTCAATAACTAGGAAAACCAGTCACTATTTTGACTAGGTAGTTTTTAGAGTGTAAGAATACGCTTTTCCTGTCGTTTGATCAATGTACTTAGTACGTTACACGTTGTGTGTGTCAATACAGCACCGTGCTCGCGAGCAGTGACCAATCACCAATGCACAAAATGAGGTTTCTATGGTCCGCAAAAGGCGAACACTTTTTTTTAACATTTAATATTGTGTCCCCCATCCTTCAAAAAGTAGGAGGACATGTCCCCCTGTCCCCCAAGGATTGACGCCCATGATGCAGACTGTTGGCGTACCATTCCGACTTGTAAGTTTACACAACGTTGTCAGGCCGGGAAAAATCAAACAAACCATACCGTCACCAACGCCGCGTCGGCACAACATTGGCAGGCTGTCGTCGAATATACACTGTTTACCAACGACGGACCAACGATGTCGGGTCGACTTCAATGGACCGATATGTCGAATATGCCTTCTTTAATATGTTTACCAACGTCAGGTGTACACCGATCGCCAGCGTCGGCATATGCGCATATTACGTTTGCAAGCCGACTGCGACCGTTCCAACATTAACCGATTGGGCGAACGTATAAAAGTCGAAATAGCTGAAGAGGGAGGTGAGAATCTATATGTGCCCAGATACAAAGAGTAGAAATCTACGCGTCTGCCTTTTGAAAATACACAATTGCGGTGTTCATTGTTGCGTAATGATCCGCCTAGCACACGACTGTTTTGCACATTAGGCTGTGTTATGCAGCTTCCGAACAAACCAAACACACTGGGCTCATTATATCGACTTGTTTTTACCCATTAAGGTAAAGCAAATGGACCCAGTAATCTTCCTGGCGCGTTTGCTCACCTATAAAGATAACTTTTCTCAGTTTAATGAAAATTCTAAGGTAACGAAATGGCCGAGTGGTTACGATTCGTCGTCCAGGGTTAGCGGGGTCCCTGGTTCGAATCCCGCTGGTGTCTTTTTGGTTTTTAACGAATGAGTTCAATTATTCACTATAAGAGATTTAATTTCCCGTCGAAAAGTACCAACAGTACCTTAGCTTAATCGGTAAGCACTGCTGCTGGTACTGTCCGCGAGTTCCAGGTTGGCGCCTTCGTACAGGTTCAGGGCATGTGGTCCACTCGGAGGATCAGGGCTTAGGGGCCGCCCTGTTCCTCCCTTAGCTCTTTGCTTTTACATGGTGCCTGGCCCTCCGGGGTTATATGGATGGATAGGGAAGGAAGTGTGTATTGGTCGGGGACGCCGAGACCCCGGAAGAGAACTAAGGGTTCGGCTGGGGCATTGTTATGGCTCAGACCGATCCCTGAAAGCTTGACTAGCACATAACTTTTTGATTTGTTTACCCTCTATCTTTTATACTTTGGTTTAGTTTGATATCTACAGCTGCTCGGCAGGTCTACGGGTAGTATCAAAATTGAAACAAAGGTGTATGTCATTAATCAATGATTATTTCATAATTGACTATAATCAAAACGGAGTTTCGTTTGATCAATTTGACTATCATTATATAATGACGCGATTGCCAATTGACGTAAGAAACGCCATAAATTATACCGGGAAAGAATAAAGATGTACATTGTAATATAAATATTATTTATACATCTTTCAAATAACGTGTCTTTAATTGTGAGCATTCCAAACAATACAGTAATTCGCAATGGTATTAAAATAGTTTATGAAAGCACGATCAATGCGTCTCTATTAAATTTAAAAATATATAATTTAGGCCCCTATGTGTGAAATATTCTTTGATTGACTATGAGCATTCCATACGAATGAGTTAATTCGCAAAATATTGCAACAACAAAAGAGAACAGAAAAAGAGAAAATTCCTTTACCCTAAAAACTGGAAAAATAATTTGTTTAAAAAAGTCAAATGGGACACTTCATGTGTTGATTTAACAGTTTGCAAGGAGTTAGCCTTACATTTTAGCAAAATTGGGAAACATCAGATGTTTCTGGATAATTGCAGCTTGTAAGGGGTTAACCTTGCATTTTTAGTAAAATTTAGATGTTTATGAAACATTTCAAATAGTAAGGGGTGAACCTTGCATTTTTTAGCAAAATTGGGCAAAATCAGATCTTTCTGGAAAATTTCAGGGGTTAACCTTGCTTTTGTAGTAAAATTTGGCAAAATAAGATGTGTATGAAAAATTTCAAATTGTAAGGGGTTAGCCTTGAATTTTTTAGCAAAATAGGGCAAAATCAGGTGTTTATGGAAAATTTAGGATTGTGAGGGGTTAATTTTGCATTTTTAGCAAAATTGGGCAAAATCGGATATGTATGAAAAATCAAAAATTGTAAGAGGTTAACCTTGCCAAATTAGGGCAAAATCAGATGTTTCTGGAAAATTGCAGATTGAAAGGGGTTAACCTTGCTTTTTTAGCATAACTGGGCAATATCAGATTTATATGAAAAATCTCAAATTGTAAGGGGTGAACTTTGTATTTTTAGCGAAATTGAGCAGATTCAGGTCTTTCTGGAAAATTGCAGATTGTAAGGGGATAACCTTGCTTTTTTTAGTAATATTTGGCAAAATAAGATGTGAATGAAAAATTTCAAATTGTAAGGGGTTAACCTTGCTTTTTTAGTAAAATTGGGCAAAATCAGGTGTTCATGAAAAATGTCAGATTGTAAAGGGTTCACTTTGCATTTTTAGCAAAATTGGGAAAAATCAGATTTGTATGAAAAATCAAAAATTGCCCAATTAGGGCAAAATCAGATGTATCTTGAAAATTGCAGATTGAAAGGGGTTAACCTTGCATTTTTAGAAAAACTGGGCAAAATCAGATTTTTATGAAAAATCTCAAATTGTAAGGGAACCTTGCATTTTTAGCAAAGTTGGGCAAAATCAGATGTTTCTGAAAAATTTCAGATGTAAGGAAGTTAACCTTGCTTTTTTAGCAAAATTGGGAAAATCAGA